ACCCCCTCCTCACTCAAAAAACTTCTGTGGCTCCCTGTTGCCTCCAGAATCAAAACCAAAATGCTCTGTTTGGCACTCAGAGCTCTTCAAAGCCTTTTGTTGCTTAGTCATTTCTGACTCCTCATGACCCTTTTTGGGGTTTTCTTGGCAAATACACCAGAGTTTTTTGGGTTTGCCATTTCATTCTTCAGCTCATTTTACAGATGAAGAAACTGAGGCCAGTAGGGTTAAGTGACTTGCTCAGGGTTATGTATCTAGTAAATGTCTAAGGACAGATTTGAATTCCAGTCTTCCTGATTCCAGGCCTGAGCTATATCCACTGTTGCTACCTAGCTCCCTCCTACCTCTCTAGTCTTCTTCACACCTTGATCTTCCACATATGCTCTTCGGTCCAGTGACATTGGTCTCCTAGATGTTCCGTGAACAAGACACACCTCATCTCTTGGTTCTGGACATTTTCTCTGGCTAACTTCCATGCCTGGAGCTCTCTCCCTCCTCCACTCTATCTATTGACCTCTCCAGCTTCCTTTAAGTCCCAATTAAAGTCCTATGTTTACTCCAACCCTTCCTACTTCTAGTGCCTCCCCCTCTTCCAATTATTAACTATTTATCTTGTACATAGCATGTTTTATGTATACAGGTTATATAAAACATGTTATGTGTTGTGTTCACATATGTATGTTTGCATCTTATTTCCTTATGTACGTTCTAAACTTCTTTAGGGCTGGGACTGTCTCTTGCCTCTTTTTGTCTCCTCAGCACTTAGCCTGGTACATAGTAGGCACTTAATTTTGATTGATTGATTGGGTGGTACTGGGCTTTCTGCAGCTGGAGTTTTACCATGCATGGGAGAATTCTGCTTAGTTCTTCTATGGTGCCCAGATCAGCCATGTCTTCATTTCCCACTGGGCTACACTCTTCGGAACTTCGTCATGCTCACTGGGAACCTCGCTATCCTGCAAGATCACATCAACCCTGAAACTCAGTACCCTGTGCCGCTAGGGTGCCTCTCTTCCATAGATTGGAGAGCTCCTCTCCGATCCTACCTTTAAGGGTGGCATGCAAGCCAGCTATCTCTTCCTTTCCCGCTTGGCTATGCTTCTATGAGCTTTATCATGCTCTGTCCAGGGTGTTGGCTTCCCCCAGTGAATTGTGAGCTTCTTGAGGGTAAAGACTTTTTTTCCTTTTTTTGTATCTCCAATGTTTAACACAGTGTCTGGCACATAGCAGGTGCTTAATAAATCTTTATTAACCATGTTCTTTCATCCAGAGTGCCACAGAGCTCTACAAAAGATTCTTCCTTTCAATTCTCTCCACACTTTACACCCAGAGAAGAGAAAGGGCTTACCTCTCCTGTCTATTTGCCCCTTCCCTCAATAAGCCAATGGTTATCTTAAGATAATTAGTTTCAATTTAATTATTTTACTTCATACTCCTTTGGTAATGAGGATAAATGGTAATTTGGGACAAAGGCACTAAAGTAGTGTGTTTCCTGGAAACCAGTTCTTTGTCTTGCTAGTCTCTTCTTAAACACTCTAGATATTCAGAGTTCCCACTCTTTTTAGGGTAGGGAATGTCTGTTTTGAATTTGGAGGCTTTCCGTTACCTTCCAGTGTCTTTTAACCTGGGCTTACCTTCAGCTTTTCCTGGAGTCTCACTGGGGCATCCCTCTTGTATTACTGTTCCTCACATGCCTTCCTGCCTGGAATATATTCCTTCCTCACCTCTGACTCTAACCAGTTCTCTTCAAAGCTCAACTCAAATGCTCCTTACTTTCCTGATCAGCCCTCTTCAGTAGGGGTTGCTCTGGATTTCCACCCCATGATGGTGGCAGCAAGTCTGTAGTAGGCTTGGAAGGTACTCTGGTTTGGAGACAGGATGAGAGTGGAGGGATCTTACAATGGTAGCTTAATGGCAGTAGCAATGGCAGTGGCTGCAGTGGGAGTTGGGATTACTTTGTTCTTAAGTACTCAAAACAGGCATTTGTAATTTGGGTATTGATATCTGGGGGACTCCCTATACCCAGATGTTGGGGGCAAATCATATGATTGGTTACATGAAGTCAGCTACGATTCTTATAAAAATGTATAGGTGTTTGCTGAATAGCCAGTGTCAGCAACAGAGGCTGCTGGAGGTGTAGTCTTTTCCAACTGGATGGAGAAACTGAAGGATAGTGAGAGGTGGGAGCTATAGGGAGCATGGGGAAGCCAGAGAACTTTGGAGCTCCACAGACAGGAATGGGGCCGTTTGATATTGGAACTGATCCCAGGGAAGGGAACTGCCCCCCTAATGGATGACAAAATCACTTGTAATCTGGAACAGTGGAGATTGTTTGGCTTATTGATCCACTTTTAAGGAGCCATGTGCTTGGACAGAACTTGCTATTTGCTTTAATGGAACTGCACCTTCCGTACCTGGAATCTAGTGAATTTAATCATTTTCCAGTACCTTCCCCTTATCTGTGATGTCAGGTGGTTGACTGTGTCTCCTTTCTCATCCTCCTGCCTCCTGTCTGGTGAACCAGCATCCTTTCCCCTTTTGGAGTTTACTATTTTGTTTTTTGTTGTTGATAAAAAAAAACAAACTTGTTTTGCTTGTTTGATTTTGTCTCCAGATAAAGATGAGCATACCTTTATTGTGTACTAAACCAGTGTTTGCTATGCTGGAGTAGGTAAAAAGGGGAAGGGAAGAGGTAGGGAACAAAATGAACCTGTGAGACCAACTGCCCTAGACTTTAAAGAGAAAAAAGACCTTGGGAGACTATATTAAGCTCTCTGGGAGCATAAAGTAGGGCTTTAACTTAAAAGCAATTTTTGCATTCATTTGCTATAGCAAGGTAATATCTTTTTTTTTTCTTGGTCGAATGTTAATTTATTGCAGTACTCTCCTTTGTAGCTTTTAATTTGCTGGGCATTCCACAGCACCACTACTGATGTCATCAATGACATCATGAGGATGCCTGCCATCAATGTTGCAGCCCACAGACTGGGCTGTTCCAAGTATCTCTTTAATGGTTCCAGAAAGGTCTCTTGCCAAGGATCAGTGCCTCATCTGTCGAGCAGTGTTGACGATCTCATAGAGAGTGATGTTTCCATTGTGTTTAATATTTTCCTGTTTCTTTCTGTCCTGAGGACGTTCCTTTAGGGCTTTAATGATCAAGGCTAAAGCAGAAGGCACAACCTCAATCTGGGCCTGTCTATTTCTGAATGGTAAGTTTCACTGTGATCCTTAGCCCTTTCCAGTCACCAGCTGCCTTGGCAATGTCATCACCAACATTTTTGGGAGACAAACCCAAGGGACCAATTTTGGGGGCCAGATCTGATATGGCACCAACTTCATCACCAGTGCACCTTAAAAACACGACTTTAATTTCATTAGGGTCAAACTTGGGAAGCATGGGGGCGACGAAGTTGGAGGCTTGGCCTGGATGCTGCTGGGCAGCTGCCAGTGTCGGATAAACCCAGATTTGGGTTGACCAAAAGAAGTTGTGCCTTCACCACCACGAGCTGGAAGCCAAAAGGGTAATTATCTTCTTGTTCTTCACTTGAATTTCCCTCAGCTAATTGATATTTGCCCTAACTTCTATCTAATTTTGACGGTTAATCTCAACATTAGTTAATATTCAGTCTCTATATATACTACCCAACTGTCCACCCACGTGAGGAATAATCTTATATAAAAAATTTTAAATTCAGCAAAATGAATTGTAACAAAATATTTCCCCACTTCTAGATGGCAGCTAAAGTACCATTTCTAAGAGACTAATAGATTAGTCTGTGAATCATGTTCAACATATAATGATATATAAATGAAAAACTTAAAGATGAATTGGTTAATGATCCAAGTTCCTTGCTTAATAAATGCTTGTTGCATTAGATTGGAAAAGCTCAAGCAGAGAAAACTAAATGGAAAATGCAACAGCTAGGTCCTAGTTGTTGGAATATTGAATACTGGGAAAAGTGAAACGGCTCCACTTATTGATATTTGAGAATTTGCCTTAGCCATAACTATTTTAGAAAAATTAAAATTAAAGATCTCAGCAAGCTTAAAAACACATTCAGATTATTTTGTGCTTTTTCAAACCTGATACAAATTGTTCACCTTTATGCAGAATTTTTCATGTTTGTTATATTTCTCCCAAAAGTCTCTTTACTGTATTTGGAGAGATCTTGTTGCTTGGTATTAATATTTAGTTACATTTTCCCCCAGGTGAATTTTTTTCTACACAGTACCTTTAGTACAAAAATTTTCTATAATGAAAATGATAGTATAGATAGTCTCTGAGTTACAAACCCCTGATGTGGAAATGACCTTTTACAAACAAATGGCTGTGACGTGAATCCTTTCTTATTGCTACTGTCTGTTCTGTGACTGTTGGGGTGCGGGGACCTCTTCTCTTGCCGCTATCATAATGGAGGAAATGGAATCACTAGGAGTCCTTAGCCTGAAGGAGAGAAGATTTAGAAGGAACATAATTGTCTTCAAGCATTTGAAAGACTCTGATCAAATCAGATGATAGGGACAGTGAGGCGTTCATTTCCTAGTGGCATATAATTTGAAGTTGCAAGAGAGCTTAGAGCTCACCAATCCAGTCTCTTTGCTAGGTGTGGAAATTGAGGTTCAGAGTTTTAATGATTTATCCTATGTCATGCCTGTAATAAGGAGAACCATTATTCAGACTCAGGTCCTCTGAGTCCATATTTACCATTCTTTCTTCTCTATTACTTTTTTTTTCCAGTTTCATTACCCTGAGAGAAGTAGAATGGAAGGAAGTTTAAGTTAAGAGTTGGGTAAATTGGAAAGGGATTAAAAGTGAAAGAAAAGTCAGGAAAACATGAGAAAGTGAAGGCAAAGATGAAGAGAGGGAAAGAGAGATGGAGAAAAATGGGGGTAAAAGGAAATAAAAAGAACTTTAAAATATTTTTAAATTTTAAAAATATCTCCTTCATTTCTCCTTTAAAGCTCATTTCATTTTCAGAAAATAGATGTTGGTTCTCAGAATTTCAAGATTTTTATTTTTTTAATATTTAAAAAAGGTAAAGAGGGAAGAAAGAGTGGGGTATGTTGCCAGAATTTGTAAGGCATTTCCCCCCTCTTTTAAGTATCTCTGGTTGACTGCTCCATTTCAATCCATCTTGTTGAGAAATATCAATTACAACTGATAATTCTGCCCTTCACATTCACTGTGAATAAATAAGGGAGAATAAAGAACAGAAAGCTAGGAAATCAAAAGAGTGAGAATGAGAGATTTAGAAAGATAATCATACTGAACTATGCTTCATTTCTTGCTTATGAGAATAAAATATGTGAAGTGCCACTTGTATTATAAGTAGGTTTCAGTTCTCTCATGAGAGTGAAGTTGTAACTCAAGTAACCAAAAGATGTGAGATAAGCCGGCTAACGACTTTCCTGGTGGACATAATTAGTATGCCTCAGATATGGATTAGTAGTGATAGTTGTGTTTTTTGTTAATAGTAGGAAGCAGATAATACTTTGGATTCTTCTTTGAGCATCAGGATTCATATTTTAGGCTAAAGTAAATCTGAATTTGATAGAATGATAGGTTAAAATTCATTTTACTCACTGTTATCTTTTGTTGGGGTGTAGGAGCAATACAGTGTGAATATGAGAAAATGTAGGAGAACATGAAATGATTTAGAGGAAAGTAGAGAAGGGAAAAGAAAGGCTAACCAGAGGGAAAACTGAAAAACTATACAAGCCTAAAGAAAAATAAACATAGAAAAGAAATACAGGAAGAAGAGTTAGAAAATGAGTAAAAGAAAACAAACAAGGGAAGCAATTATTACTTTATGGAAAACCAAAAGTCAAATTGTTAGGCTATATTATCACATTTTACATCATTACATTACATCAGTATTGTCTTGGAGTGATAGGAATGAAACTCTGCGTGTTCATTTGGGAGGCCAAAGATTATTATATAGGCTAGCTATACAAAGTACTCAGTAATTTGTCTTAGTTTTAGGTTTCTTTGGCGGAAAGCTTTGAATTCTTTGGAAGAGGGGCACTATTTGAATACTAAATGCATAGTATTATTACTATTAATATTGATGCTAGCTTTGCAACTATTAGGTGGAAAAAACCAGTACATTGGGGGCTTCTGGCATTTCTAAGCATTTCATGCTTATTTTAGTTTCTTGACAAGATTAGGTTTGGGCAAGATGAAAATACCTTGCAGACACTAAGATTTTAAATTGTTATGTGAATTCCAATGGCCCCGCCTTCTGATGGTGTTCTCAGGTTTGATGCTGAAGCCCATACTGTGGTAAATATTATATATACATATATATATATATGTATACATATATATAAATGTATTGTAATCAAATCTTTCTGGTAATACTTGTAACCAATCCCTCCTTGAAACGGATGACAGACCCAAATGATACCAAATTCTTTGTTCTTGTGAATTCTTATATAGTAGGGCTGCAGTGAATGTATTTAAAGTGCCTTAAAATTTAAGCTTTAGGAAATTTTCTTATCTTCTTGTTCCATGAAAAGTTATTTTTTGTTTTCTCTGACCTTCAGATTGCATTCTTCCTTTTATTAAGAAAAATATAAGGAAGTAATATAAGTTACAGAGTTTTACAGAAGCCATCTTACTTAGGTCCCTTCCATAATTCTCATTTACTTGCGTGACTATGAAATAAGAGATATCAGATCCACCCACAGCTAAAGGGAAAAAAACAGAAAGAAATTGACTAGAGGTTCAGCCCTGGAGCTGATAAAGATAAACATACCAACACAAACTACCACCGCAAAAATTTAGTAGCAAAACTTGGTCAGTGTTCAACTATAACCAAATGAATAGCTGCTGACACCAAGTGGTGCCACTTGGCAGTGGTGCAGAGGCCAAAACAGGGGGCAAGAGAAAAGGACTGGCAAACTGACCATGGAAAATTTACTGAGAACTTGAACTGTGAGCACCACCCCCTCCATCCATCCTTCATCTGTTGGATCAGTTGCTATGGGATCTGCCTACAAAACTGGTCTTGGTACTCTGTAGTTTGCACCTAATTAGTCTGCCTAAGGAACAAGGGGGACCTGCCAATTCAGGGAGAGAAGAAAGAAGTAATGATTAAAGAGGATGGCATGCTGAGGAAGCCAGTAGTTAAATAATGGTTATTTCTACTCTGTTCCAGTGAGTGGGTGATCCTGGATACCTGCATCACAATGAAGCATGTAAAAAAAATTATTTCATACCTGAAGCGACTGAATCATTTCTGGAATCCCTGTAAAACAAATAGCTCAGATCAAAACTTTGCCAATTCAACCACAACATTCACAGAGGAATTATTAGGTAGTATGTAATCTGTCATTCTTTAAATGCTTTGTGATAGTAACTGAACCATACTTACCTGCTTTGTGGTCTTCTGAAATGTGACTATAAATAGAATGAGTGAAAGTACTTACATATCTGTAAATATACATACGTGTGTGTATATATCCATATATTTTGTTATACTTGCAAATTATAAATTATATATAATAATAATATAATTATATTTGTATGTAAATTAGATATATGGGTTGTCCCCTTCCTCCTTTTGAGTTATAGATGTCAGGGCTGAGAGGAACCTGGAAGAAGCCCAAGAGCAGTTTGTACAACCTAGGCCAGCTACCCCAGAAGAAGGTGAGAAAGAGAAGGGCAAAGGGAAAGAACGTGAATGATTGCCTTTCCACACTCCTACAAGCAAGGCAAGAGCCACAAAGAGATCGGGAAACTGCTTGGTGTGAGGCGTATCAATTTGGCGTTGGGGAAAAGAGAAAATGTACCCTAAGTTGACCAAGTAGAGGAGAAAGAGACTTGATTGAACAAGTTGAGCAGGAAGTGCTTCCATAGCCACCTGAGAAAACTCTTTAATCAGTAGGGTGGAGTTTTAGAACATAGTTATAAAGATGCAAGAAGTTTCAGATAGCGTTTTCTCAGATGCATATGACAGTACTTTCTGCTTGCCCTGTTCAAAGGAGTCTCTGTTTTCTACTCCTGGTTGTCATAGGGTGAATCCATCTCATTTAACGCCTTTCTCACTCCCCTTAACTGGTAGGCTTCCTATAATCTGTCAGCACCCCCCAGGGGTCTTTGGGGAGGTTCAAAAAACATGGATGCTTTTTCCATTAGCTTTTCCTGCCTCCAACTTTCTCAGAGGCAGCTAGGCAAAGTTAATCGAATTGCATGAGGCTGCTTTGAAATTTGAGAACTATTGATGAGCAACTAAAATGTGACTCAAAGGAGAGTAACAGAATCATGCCAGAAGGTGAAGATTCACGAATTTATCAGAATTAAGTGATCTGGCAGTTTTATGGCACAGTTATAATATGAATCTCAGTAACTTGCAAACCAGTGAGTCCAAATAATCATAACTAAATAAATATACCTGGTGATGTCCAAAATAATGACAAACAATTTTAAGAAACTGAGACTTATCAAGTTTATGGACTTCCATCAGAAGCCTCCTCAAAACCCTGAAGATACCGTAGTAAGACTCATCAATGTATGTTCACTTTAAATGAAAACACTTGCAATATTTAATAATTGTTTTAAAAATTCTGTATAAAGCTATATAATAAAATTTATAATTGTGTTTCTGATACATAAAGGCAGAAGAAAATGCATTCTTGGCTTTACTGAGCACTGTAGGATTAATTATAGCAAAAATTTGCTTTTATTTGCTTTTTTCCTCTACCTGATAAAAGTCACCAGGTCCTTAGAGTCATGAATCTCAAGGTTGGAAGGGATTTTAGACATCCAGTCTGATCTCTCATTCCTTGTAGGAATTCTCTCTATAATATTGCTAATGGGTTTGGTATGGCAAACTCTTGGACTGGAGGAGAAATACTAAGTACCTTGTTGAGTTAAATGACCTCTAAGGTCCTTTCCAACTTTAAAATTCTGATGTTATGATTCTTGCTAACCTTAATTTTATTATTATTTCTAATAATGATAATGATGTAATAATATTTGGCCCTTTAAGAGCATTTTTCATATTAAAAACTCAAAGAATCTTTATAAATTTAAAATATTAATAAGCTACTTAGAATTCAGATTTAACACTTTAGGTCATATACTGTTTATATGTATGGTAGTCAAGAAGGAGATATGAATAATTTGATGATCTTGAATTATTGGCACTATCTCTGAGGAATTAGATACAAAAACAAGTTATTAGGTTTGAGGTATGTGAATCAAAGTGAGTAATAGGAATAGCTGCCAGAGTGACTAGAGGTCAAGTCAGTTGTGATTTAGGGAAGGGTGTTAGGATGAATTGATTAATGTTTTCCTCTTCTGTTTTTAGAAATATTTGTGGGCTATTTATCTTTTATTAAAAATGTTTGAATCCAACTTTATGTGATTAGAGGTTGCTTGCAACCAGAATGTGATCTGACCTCAGTAACTCTCTAGGAATGCTGGAGATGGCTACAAGGTATTTTGGGTTTTCCCAAGTCCTGGAGCCACCCAAAGTATTCTTGTTTTGGGTCCACCCAGGCTTGTGTTTTCTGCTTCTTGTGATTTGTTTGTAACTATGCGGAAACCTTTGACCTTTGTCAAAATCCTATATAATGTAAACTTTCCAGAACCTAGGGAGAAGGAGCTACCACTTCTTTCTGTATCTCTCTACCAAACAACCTAATAAACTTCTTTCTAAAAGTATTTCAGGTTTTGGGGTTTGTTCTCGTGAATAACATATTCAACTTTTTATTTTGCAGTGAAAATATTATTAGCATTCTCTTGCATAGTTACTGAAAGTATTTTTTCCATTGTATGGCACCTTTTGGTAACATCCCATTCTTTCCCACTTTACGTTTGACTTTCTTTCCAGAGACAGCTTGGATTGTACCTGGAGTCAGGAAGACCAGAATTTGATCCTGCCTTAGATGTTTACTGACATTAGTAACTAGATTAATCAATTAATCCCTATTAGCCTCACTTCCTTCACCTCTAAAATGGAGACAGTAATAGTACCAACTTTACCTCTAAAATGAGGATTGTAATAGTACCTACTTCACAAAGTTGTTATAAAGAATATGTAAAGTGCTTTGTAGCCTTTTAAGGGCTATTCAAATATTAGCTATCATTTGATGATAGCTTTCTCTGCTTGCTTTCTTTCCCTCCTCCTTTCTTCTCTCCTATACCAGGATTTTGTTTTTGTTTTTGTTTTTTTCTGTCCAGACTTATATTGGCCAATAAATGGCTTATGGAACTCCCAGTGAGGAAACTCCCCCTACCAATGCAGGTCAGCACCTGTTTTGCAATTTGTAGTCTGAGAGGGTTGTCTTGGGCACTGATTACCCCAGGCTCACACATCCAGTATGTCAGAAGTAGGATCTGAGCCATGATCATCCTGACCTGGCCTCTCTCTTCACTATATCATCCCATCTCTTCCTTTTGCACCTTTGACTAGTGATAATAGTTGATATTGACATGTTGCTTTAGATTTTATGTTGTACTTTACTTACATTGTCCATTATCACAATAACCTTGTGAAACTAGTATTGTAGTTACTAAGTTATTACCTCCTTTTATTGATGAGGAAACAGAGGCAGGCTGCTCAGGTCAAATGAATGGGAAAATTTGTCCTATTCCTGATACTTCTATACCTTCTTATCCACATCAGGAGCAGGGAAATTTCTATGGGAGGTAGCTTCAATTTCCATTTGTAATTCATATTCAAGGGAATTAAGTTCTATAGAAAAATCCTTTGGAAGTTGGACTATCCTTAGGCTTGAGTATATAGCCTTTCTTAGAGCCAATCATAACAGTTATAACAATCATAACCTATAGGGTAGGAAATTTACTTTGATTCTCACTTTGATTTCAGGGTTTCTATGCAAAGCTAGACTCCCCTCTAAGATCGCTCACATTCATACAGCTTATGTTAACTCTACTTTGCTGCAGAAGGAGCTAAAGAAGAAAGCCAGATTTGTATCATATATTGGTTAACCAAGGTTTTAAAATATTGAGTAGCATCTTAGATTTTCACTCCTCAAATTACTGAGACTCTCTACTGTATTGACTTGTCATGCTGGTGTAATCAATACTCTATTATATATATTAATAAAAATGAGAAAAACGAGGCATAGCTAATCCAAAAAGTAGATAATTCTTTAAATTGCAAAAAAAGTTTATATTTGGGTTTGATAGTCATTATCTAATTAATTCTTCAAGTAATGTAATGTAAAGTAATATAATTTCTAATTGTTAAATTATAGACAGGGAAGGGATCCTGAGAGTTTTCTTTAGGCAGAGGAATGCCTAAACAGTCCAAAACAGATGGTTATCTGGTTTCTTTTTAAAAGAATGTTAGGGACAGAGGCTCCACGACCTGCAGTAACCCATTCAAGTGTTCTGTTACCCTGATAAATCAATCAGCATTATTTATTGAGTATCTACTATGTTACTAGCACTGTGTAGTCAAGAACTTTATATGCTTAACTAAAATCTCTTCTGTTTCATCCATGTTTTAAGAACAACTATTACCATCTTCCTCATCAAAACATTAATATAAATGAAGGCAATAATTGGTAACTTCTCTTACCTAACCTAAATATCTCAACTTTTATAGTTTGACCCATTCTAACCCTTAAGTAACTGTTGTCACTCTTAACTGGATCCTCTTTAGAGTCAGATTCCAAATTAAAACGTGATGGAAATGGGATATAGCACTTAAATAAAAATGTGGCTAAGACAGAGCATAATGGAGGAATTATCCTACAGTCTCTGTGTGTTAGACTCTATTAATGCATCAGAGTATCAGGTTGATTTTCATCACCATAGCATTATATTGATGATTTGCATTCAGGTTATTAAAATTATTTTAAGTCTCCAGGGAACATGAAGAAAGACCACCCAAAATATAAATTAGATGGCAGAGAAGTCAGTCTGAGAAATTTACTTTAGTTAAGCAGTGTGGTATGGTAGAAAAAGAAGTGTATAGGAAGTCAGATGACTTGTGTTCTAGTTCTAATTCCAGCTCCAACATTCACTAGCTATGTGATTTTTAATGAGTCACTTAATTTATCCAAGCCTCACTCTATTCTTCTGTGAAATGGGTATAATAATGCCTGCTCTGCCAATCTTTCAGGGTTGTTATGAGACTCAAATGAGATGGTATATGTGAAACCACTTTGTAAATAACAAAATGCTGTAGAATTGTAAGGTATTATTATAAACCAAATGTGGTTGATTGAGAGTCAACTATCATTATTCATTTATAGAGTTATGTAGCTGTAAGAAGCCTCCAATGAACGCTGTTTGAACCAGTGCTGGAACTTTTAAGTGTGTATGTGTGTGAATAAATAGATAGATGTCTTTCCCCATTTCTTAGAATCTGGGAATCTTACACACCTTAACTCTTCTGCCTTAGTGGCTGACTCTGTAACAACAGTCTTCTTTTCACCAGGGTCGGGATCATTTATCTCCTTTTGTATGACAGTTTCACTCTGTTTCAAGCTGGTTTGATTATTCACTTCTGATTTACTCTCACTTTCTTCAAAAGCTACTTCAGAGATTATGACATTATTAGATGGCTCATTCTCAAGGATAGTATCACTTTCTGGATCTTGTAAATACACAAACTGCTCATTTATCTCATTGTTTATCTTTGGAAATAATAACAAACAGAAAATAAGACATAGTAAGAACATCATTTAATAATAACTTGGAGTGGGGGTGGAGTTCAGACCTATGATTTTATTTGAAGAAGGAATTCCTGGTTTGGAAACTACCTTCATTGATGCAGATTGCCAGCTTTCTCTGTGTTTTACAATCTTATGGAATTGCCTGGGTACTAAGAGGTTAAATGACTTGCCTATGGTCACATAGCTAATATGCTTCTGAGTTAGAATTTGAACTCAAGTCTTCTTGACTGCAAGGATAGATTTATATATCGGGTATCCAAATGTTTTAGGGGTTCTCATAGGTAGGGACAAGGGCTTAGCTAGGAAAATAAGTTCCTGTGAAGAATGGACAAAAGGATTGGGAAAGAGAATTAGAGTCTACATGGTACCTTTATAGTTCCTGACTGAAAGAAACCATTTATACCACCTTATTCCATTCCTGCTTGTAATCATCTACTGATTTCAATTCACCCTTCAGTGACTTTAGAGAATAACGTACATAGCATAACATAACAATTCACGCATATATACAGTGACCCAGCTCAGTTTTTCTGTCCCTATTATCTCCTGCTAACAGTATTGAGAACTTCAATATTTATATTCAGGATTTACATCTCTCTAACTTCCTGGCCATATAATTCCTGAACATGTTCAACTCCAATAGTTGTCTTCCTTTCACTTCAAGTCACCTACCAGGATGGTTATACATTAGTCCTCACTATCTCTCCATATTTTCCACTTCTAACATAGTAAACACTGAAATTTCATTCTTCAATTGCAACGTCTCATCTTCTTGTTTCTCTAACTCTCGCACTGATAACTAAATCTATGGTTTCATTTACAGGTATCCTATTCTTCACCTTCATTTTAACTTCCAGTCCCTTGACTAATCCTTATTGTCCTGTTTATCTTCTCCACACTGGTTTTACCTACCTCCATCCCAGCTTGACCTTGGGGTCTGTCACTTTAGTATTTCACCAGCCATGATTATAGAATCTCTTGTCCTTGTGACTTTCCGCTATTCCTGACCTGGTAATTTTCATCTTTGGACATTCCTGGCATTGGGTTTTTGCATTTCTGCTTTGGGATTGCTCAATATCATAAGAGTGGTAGGAACTCAGACTTATTTCATCTACTACAAGTTTATAGTACATTACATTTTCTGGGTATTTACTTGCCATTCAACACTCAGTCAGTCAACCAAGAGGGCAATCAACAAATATTTAGGAAGTGTCTATTGTGGGCCAGGCATCATGTTAGATGCTAGGAATACAAATACCGAGAATGAAATAACCCCCATTCTCAAGTATCAAAGACCTTACGTTCTAACAAGGACTTTCATGTACTTGTGTCTTTGTTTTTCCTGTGTGTATATATATGAACACATATGTGTATACACAGAAACGCACCTGTACATATACACATGTATGTATGTCCTTATTTCTCCTATATATACCTCCTACACATACGTATGTGTATGTATAAATGTAAGTACATGCCTGTGTATATATGTAAGTACATGCATATGCATCATTTTCTTTTGCACGCATATATACAGTATGCACATGTGCATATATACATACACATGCATACATGCATACATACACAGTGAGTGTCCCAAAAGTCTTAGTGCAGTTTTGAGCTTTATTCCTAGGAACCTGCTGATCAGGCATTGGGAAGGAGTTGAATCTCCTTTTTTGGTTTTTGGTTTTTGGTTTTTTTCAACTCAGGCAATGTGGAAGCCAAATCAATGGCCTAAGCCTCAGTCCCCTGAATCAGTTAAATCTCTAGGACAATATCAATCTTTTAAAGAAAAACTAGCCTAACCTACATGCGACCAGGCCTTAGGATATTCCTCCTACCATATATATCTCTATCACTTTTTTACATGTTGTCTTGTAAAAGGACTCATATTTACAAAAAAACCCAACAACAACAAACCATATTTATAGCAAGTCTTTTTTGTAGTGTAAAAAACTGGAAACTGAGCAGAGGTATATCTACTGGGCAATGGCTAAACAGATTACGGCAAATGAATATAATGTAATATTACTGTTCCATTAAGGACGAAGAAATGGATGATTTCAGAGATATGTGGGAAGACTTGTATGAACTAATTCAGAGTGAAGTATGTGAAAGCTTAAGAACAATTTATTCAATAACAACATTAGTGTAAAGACAACTTTGAAAGATGTGGGAACTCTGATTAATGCAATGAGCATTATTATGTTTCTAGATGATGAAGCATGCTGCTATCTCTTGACAGAGGGGTAATGCGCTCAAGATGTGGAACAAAATTGTAAATTACTTTAGGACAAGGATTATGTCTTATTCATCTTTGTGTCCCTCATACCACCAAGTACATTACATTGTACATAGTAGTCTCTCAGTGAGTATGTGTTGTGAATGAACCTAATATAAACAACAAAAGTAAAGCAACTGCAATGATTAAATATTTATGATATGAAATAAGAAAGGGAAAGGGCTTTACCTTCCCACACCCCAGTCTCAGTTAATGTAATTGCAAAAGGCCCAGAATATCATCATAAAGTATTAAGTAAAAGGGTAGTCATAAATGATGAAGTTTTAATGTATAGAAAAAATGGCTGTGAACGCCTTTGATTCAAGAAATAAACAGTGTGATCGACTAATCATGTCTCTGGGGACTTCAAATAGCTAGAAGAATTTTGCCAGTTTGCCTGCTTGCTAATTTGCCAGTTGAAGAGTTGGAGTCAGAAATGGGAAAAGGAGGCCCCCCAAGAATTGTCCTTGTGTAAAGTGCATCCTAGTTTATGGGGAATGTTTTTGTATCTATGTGTTTTTGCTGTGCCATTTAAGCAAATGCTTCTCCTAATTGCTAATTGAGTCTACTTCTTGTTTTGTTGTTCAGTTATTTCAGTCATGCCTGGCCCTTTGTGACCCCATTTGGGGTTTTCTTGGCAAAGACACTAGAGTAGTTTGTCATTGCCTTCTCTAGCTCATGTTACAGATGAGGAAACTTGAGGCAAACAGGATTAAGTGACTTGCCCAGGGTCACACAGCTAATAAATGTCTGAGGCCAGATTTGAACTCAGGAAGATGAGTCTTCCTCATTCCAGGCTTGATACTCTTATCTGTTGTGCCACCTAGCTGCCCCCTTGAGTCTACTGTCTAACTGTTAATGGTGAGGGCTCGGGAGCTACAGGATTAGAAATATAACCTCATCAGTAACCACTAGACTACTGATAGTGGTGGGAGTGGTGATGGTGGTGGCAGTGGTAGTAGAAGTAATAGTAGTAGCAGTAGTAGTAGAAGAAGAAGTAGTAGTAGTAGTAGTAGCAGCAGTGGTAGTAGTAGTAGCAGCAGTAGTAGTAGTAGTAGTAGTAGTAGTAGTAGTAGTAGCTATTGCTACTGCTGCTGCTGCTGCTGTTGCTGTACTTACCATACTCTGGGGATCTAGCTCTTTGATTGTGAGTACAAGTTGGGGGAGTATTCCAGAGGGAATATTATACTCAGAAACCCACTAGAGACATTCTTCATCTGAGATTTTCCTTCTTGCATACCATAGTTTGCAGAGATCCACTGGAGAAAAATTATCTTTTTTTCCCCCTTTTTTCAATTTTTGACACTAATTGAACATGCTGTTTTCTAACATGTTTCTTTTACAAATTAGAATGGTTCCTTTGAGATAACTTTTGTTTGTTTGAATGCTTAAGTACTATTTATTGTCTATTTTATCACTGTATCTTTTGTGAGTATTGTAGCTAATATCAACAATATGGATCTCTTAAATACAAGTGCCTAGAAATTCACCTAGAAAACACTGAAAGCTTATCTAAGTCATTTTTTCTTTTTAAGGAAACCTCGACTAGAATGGGGACCACTAGACCATACAAAAGAATCTCTCTGGGCTGCATATTGACTTAGAAAACCACATATTAACATTATATATGTTTTATTATATTTTTATTATTTATTTTGTTAAATATTTTCTGATTACATTTTAATCTAGTTCAGGTCACACTCCAAATATTGTGGGCTGCATGTGTGACACCTGTGACCTAGACTATTCGTTTTGTTGTGATGAGTCAAAACAACATTTCTGAAGCCCTCATGTACTGCTGCAGGTCCAAATTACATTTGAGGGATTCTCACACCTCTTTAGGGGAGTTTCTGAATTTGTTTTCTTTTTAAGTTAATCTACTTGTCCTGAGGGGTGAGTTTAGACTTCCAGTTATATTCTCTATATTTTTCAGGAATCCTTGGAGAAAATTCGGGTACCGTGTGATACAAGGACCCAGAGGACATTTGTTTGTCTAAAACTTACATATGAAAGGATTCACGGAGACATTTTAGGGTACCTTGCATGATAGAGATATTTTGTTTAGACTCGTAGTTGGATTTCCCTGTCTCTTTCAAGGACCTGTGTGTTGTTGCAGGCACCCAGGAGGAATTTTCCATGATTAAAAATGATCTGTATATATGGAGTCCAGAGCAGAGAAGCCTCTTAGAAGACGGTGAGTTCCTCAGCTCCCCTGGATCCAGCACTAGTTTATCATAGTTCTTGGTACCTGACTGAACTCAAAGCATAAGGGCCCCTCATTGGAGATGGAGAGGGAAAGGAGCCTTGCACCAGCTTGGTGCCAGTGAGTCATCACCAAGCCAGGGTAACTTGGTTTCTCACCTGAAGAATGAGGGATTGATTTCCAGATGATCCTAGGTCTTCTATCGCTATGAAGAACCTTATGTGTTCTAGGGAACAAAGCTTTCCCTCTGAGATGGGAAGCTTGATTTTCTTTTCCTTTTGTTTATTGTCTTTGGGTAGGGAAGGCTTTTGAAGTAGGTAACCTATGAGAATTTGTCAAATGACAAATTCTGTTAAGTTGAATCACCATGCATTTGGAAGTAATGTTTATTTCCTGATACTAAACTGTATCATATGGACTTTTCTCAGAGTTTTCTCTTAGTATAATGGTGTGGAGAAGGCACTGGAAAGGACATTATTTGAATCTCCCCAAGAAGTATCCAGAGGTTGGGATTTATGGACTTTGTTGAAAGCACTCTGGTTGATTTGCTGGAAGCAAATCTTTAACTGGGAGCAGAATATACCAGAAGAGTTTTTACTTCCCTGCTCATTTAATACAACTCTGAAAGCCCAGAATGTAATCTCAAGGTGTTTAGTATAAAGGTAAGTCACACATGAAGTGGTTTTAATGTGTAAACAGTGTGTGTCATACAATATGTGTGACCCTTTTATGAGGTATGAACCTCATTGGTGATTGGGCCAAGACGGAACAGTTCTGACTAACCACAAAACAAGCTAACCACACCTCTGTGGACTTAAAACAGCTAGAGTAATTTTAAGCACTTTGTTCAAGAGTTCACCAGTTTGAGAATTAAACTCAAAAGTGGGAGAATAAGCAGGTCCTCGAAAGGGAGTCACTTCAATTCCAAAGGACCCATGATAAAAAAAATTGCTATCCACATCCAGAGAGAGAACTGATGGACTCTGAGTGTAGATTGAAGCATACTTTTTTTACACTTTCCTTATTTTTCTTGTGTGTGTGTGGTTTTTTTTTTGCAACGTGACTAATAGGGAAATGTTTTACATGACTTCATATGTATAATTGATATATTGCTTGCCCTCTCAAGGGGAATAGGAGGAATGGGAAAGAGGGAGAGAATTTGGAACTCAAAATTCAAAAAAATGAATATGGAAAATGTTTAAAAATGCCATTGGGAAATATTTAAAGAAATAATTTTTTAAGGGAGCTACCTTTGCTTGGAACAAGGGGATTTTCTCTCCCTCCTACCACTGACTTGACCATGTCATCCAGGAGACTGGACTAGTAGGAGCAGAGAGACATACTGAGGGCAAATAGAGCCAGTAGTCAAGGGAGGAGGCAGCTTCAAGGAACCTGACCCTTCAGGCTGTGGATTAAAGAAAGAGCTTCTAGAACCAGAATTTGTTATTTACTCTTTTACATGTGTTCCCTATGTGTATACCTCACTACAATTATATTTTAGGTTCATGCCCACTCTTTCCACAGATGTACTAATATTTGTGGGGAAAGTACACTCTATAGGAGGGGGAAATATTTTTGCACTATTGTTCTGGCTATGTATTCAAGCAAGTGCATTTGCTAAGAATTAATTTAGTCTACTAGGTGATTCATGGAAAGAACATCTTTGGGAGTTCAGAAGTTAAGGTGTTGGAAATATAACCCCATAGAGTTATCCCTTGAATCCAAGATAGCAGCCACATTCTGGGAATCTAACCGTTGGAGTGTAAATGTCAAGCAAGGGAGTCAAGCTCTGTGTGTGTGTGTGTGTGTGTGTGTGTGTGTGTGTGTGTGTGTGTTTACGGCTCATTCATTCTCTCTATTTCTCCTCTTTTGCAGTTAACTCTTTAATGAGTTCCTATAAATAACTCCGAAGTCTCGATCTGTCTCTACCCCTAACCTCACGTGTTAGGCATTTCTGATTTCCGATTAGATACCTTCCCCTCAGTGTACTACTGATACCTCAAATTCAACATGAACAAAACTGAACTCTTGTCTTTTTTCTTGTTTGTTTTTTGTTGTTGTTGTTGTTTTGGCTAGGCAGTGGGGTTAAGTGACTTGCCCAGAGTCACAGCTAGTAAGTGTCAAGTGTCTGAGGCTGGAACTGAGGTCCTCCTGACTCCAGAGCCAGTGGTGTATCCACTGAACCATGTAGCTGCCCCAAACTCTTGGTTTTTTCTTGAAAACTTGCCCCTTCCTCTAACTTTTTTATTTCTGTTGATGGTAACTGTTGTCTAAAGACTTCTAGGATACTCTCCTTCCTTCCTCAGTGTGTTCAGTACCTGACTCTCCTCCCCAACTCCTGCTCTCATACCAAGGGACTTCAGTATAAGTGTTGATATTTTCACTTCCCATTCCTCAGTTTACCAATTTCCATGACTTACTCCTCCACCCCACCCCACCTACATACAGATATAGTTCTAGCTAGGGTCTTGCCGTCACCTAAAAGTTTACCCTCTAGAATGCCTGCTCCATTCTAAACTAATTTTCTTTCATATTAAACCTGTTACTTAGAAATTAGTATAATGCTATATACCTTCATGGGTAACAATATATGTTTGGTGACAGGGTTACTCTTGATCTCAGTAGATGAGCAGACATCTCCTAAAATTGTGGTGATTTTCTTTTTTTTCTTTTTCTTTTCTTTTTTTTTTTTTGGTGAGGCAGTTGGGGTTAAATGACTTGCCCAAAGTCACACAGCTCTTAAGTGTTATGTGTCTGAGGCCAAATCTGAACTCAGGTCCTCCTAACTCCAGGACCAGTGCTCTATCCACTGCCACCTAGCTGCCCCTTGTGATTTTTCTTGCCAACCACTTTGTTCCACAGGAAAAAACAATATTAAAATTGAATTACCAAGAGTATATTCTTAGCACATTGATAATTAATCCTATCAAACTACCTTAAATCCAAGTAGAATGCATAATCTTTGGTTGCATATTAATATTTGATATTACATATTTAATGTCCTCCATGTGACTTACTTGAATATCATCCTCAGTGGTCATTTTGTCAGTGCTCTCATGGATTTTTGAAACTTTTTGGCCTCCTGTAAAGGTAGTGGCCTTCTGTGATTTTATAGTAGACTTCAAGAGAGAGATGAGCTCAGTCCATTGTTGGAATAGAGCATCTTGTTTATGGGAGGGGGCGCAGAGCTGAAGATAGTAGGCACGTCCACTCACCAACTTTACTTTGAGGCACATTTTCGGAGCGTCATGAACAGAAATAGTCACGAGCTGCAAGGGGAGAGCCCTGCAAACAAATTCAAAAGTGATATGATCTGGAAACCCAATAACACTTTACATTTGTATAATCCTTTAATACTTTTCATTTTCAAAAACCTTTTAGTTGATTTTTTTCTACATCACTTCAGTTTCAGTATATATCCGTCCCTGTCACCTATCCAAAGAGCGATGCCTAGTAACAAAGATTAAAAAAGAAAAGTTTAGCTAAACCAGTCAACATATCAATCATGGCTGATAGTATATGCAACATGCCGCTCCCACAGTACTCCAGCTCTGCAAAGAGGAGAAAGAGGTACATTTTCTCACCTCCTCTCCGGGGCCAAGCTTGGTGCTTGTTACTTTTCAAAGTGTTTTCATATTCTGTGATCTCATTTTATTCTTATTACAATCCTTTGAAGAAAGTAGGGCTGATATTATTATCCCAGTGTAATAGGTAAGAAAACTAAAGCATATTGAAGTTGACTGAGGTCACGCAAGTTAGTGATCAAGTCAGACTAGCACTGGGGTCTCCTGATTCTGTTCTTTTTCCACTCAGATTTTACGTATAGACTTTGTTTACACGCCTACCGGAGGAAATATTGTGTGTTAAACTATGTGTACACTTTCATTTTGGATCCTCAGCATTTAACTGAATGTCTACTGATTGCTACATTCTCTTGTCTCTTTGCCTATGCATTGGCTGCCCACCCCGCCTCCCTCTGTATCTCAGAATTCTTGGTTTCCTTCAAGAATCAGCTAACTGCCACTTCTCCCAAAAACTTTCCCAGCCGCTTCTGCCTTCCCATCCAAGATTATCTTGGATCTACTTTGTATGTTTTGTATGTACATACAGAAGTACGTATGTGTATATGTATCCACATACACACAATCTCTCTCCCATTAGAATGTAAGTTCCAAGAGGGCAGGGACTATTTTACCATTGTCTTTGTATCTAGAACGCTTAGCACAGTATCTGATACATAGTAGATGCTTAACAAATGATTAAGTGATTAAATTATGAGGAAAAGAAGAAAGGAAGAAAGGGTATGGATTTTATTAATCTTGTCCTCAGAAATCTTACAGTCTCAATGAGATTCCAAGAAACTTTCATGAAGAACTTTTGTTGCTGTTCGTCCTTCATTCTGGATAGGACCAATGACATCAAGAGGGTGATGTCTTGACTTGCAAGTGAATTGGATTTAAGTGAGGCAGAGCTCTGCAGAGTCATCGGCCTCACTGTCTCCTCCAGAGTCATCAGAGTCCAGTGGGCAAGATATAGGTCAGGGAGACTGGTGATGGCCTCAGATGCAGTGGGAGATGTTGGCTTTTTTAAGCTAATGTCTTTCCCACTTCTTGGTTTGTCTGAGGAAATGCCCATTCAGTAGTGGAAAGCTAGGTAAGAAATGAGGCAAAAGATGCCCTTCATAAAAGAATCAATATGGGAGGGGAAGACCCGAGAAATTTTAAAAATCAAGACACAGTATAATGTACTGTTTCTGTAAGACACTGATACAGTCATAGGACCAATTTAGTACCAGAAGGGACAGAAAAGTATTTTCATCTAAAGAAAGAATTTATCAACCGTTAAAGGATGTAGATACTGCTGCTGTTATAGATGAACACTTTGGTCCCTAAAAGGAACAGGAAAAGAACTCTGGCTTAATTAACGATGTTCATGTATATGAAGAAATCATCCCTTTTAGATGATATTTGAGCAATTCTGGACAGAAAACAGACTGTCACTTAAATGTGTAATGATGTCTTGCTTGAGTATGTACAATTTGGTGGTTTAGAGAGAAAGAGAAAAAAAGTTATTTATTAATAAGTAGAAAATATGAATACAAAGAAACAATCCATGGGCTGATGGACCATGTTAGACACTTGAGAACAGAAGGGAGTTGTCCCTCAGCTTACTTGCATATAACTATATTTTGGCTAAGGAGGGTAAAACTAAATGAAACAAAACAAAACCATGAGAAATCATATAAACATTTGGAGACAGCAACAATAACAACAATAGCTAGCATTTATATGGCACCTGCTGTGTGTCAGATACTGTGTCAAGTGCTTTATAAATATTTGATTTGATTCTCACAACTGCCTCTCAAGGTAGGTGCTAATGCAGGGTGACTTGCTCAAGGTCTCATAGCTAGTAAGTGATGAAGGCAAAATTAAGGTATTAAAAAAAAGACTATTGGAACAAAACTTTGAAGTTCACACCAGACCAAATAATGATCAAGAAAACCAGTGAGCAACTACAGTGATCTTTTATCCCCATGATATCCCACCAAAGTAAAAGCCAGAATGACTGGAGACAGAACACATGTAGCCTGCAAGGCTCTGTGTCCAGAGGTAGCAAGAGTGGAAGGTTCCCCTGGGACAGACCAAAGTCAATTCAGAAAACCCCAGGTTGGAGGACCTTGAAAATCTCAGGGAGTGGCAGCAGACAGCAACCACCAACTGTTTACCAATGTAGTTCTACAGTGTTCAGACTAAAAGAGCCCAGGCTCGTTCTGAGGTCCCTGACACTGCCCTGAGGTGCTAGAAAGGTGCCTAAAGATCTAGTGCTCTGAATATCAAAGATCCAGGGGGCCCAGCCCTAGGACAAGGGTGAGGAACCAGCAGCCATATGGCCACAAGCAGCCTTCTAGGTCCTCAGGTGCAGCTCTTTGAATCCAAACTTCATGGAACAAATCCCTTTAATAAAAGGATTGTTCTACAAAACTGTGACTCAGTCAAAAGGCCTCACCCAAGGACCTAGCTGGCCACAAATGGCCTCGAGGCAGCAGGTTCCCCACGCCTGCCCTGGGAGATAGAAGAGAGCACAAGACCCAAGAGAATCCAGGCCAAGACCAAGCAGGGCCAACCACTCCACCCAGAAATATACAAGGGATAGAGGCTGGTCCTGGAACAAAGCCTCAATTTATGAACTAGAGCTAGAGAAGTGAGTAAATCAAATAAAACCCTGACAAGTATAAAAAAAGATTGCAAATCTAATTCCAAAACAACTGTAAGCAAACTCAAAGGAAAAATGGATCTTTCACAAGAACTACATGAATATGAAGAAATGAAACACAAGATTAAAACAAAATTAACTTTAAAGAATGAAAAGTTGAGGAAAGAACTAGAAAGAGAGTAAGTGGAAGAAAAAGTGATAAATTTTATCCAAGAAATGGACACTTTGAAGAACAGAATAGACCAAACAAATTAATTGCTCCACGAGATAGCAAGAGATATTAGAATGAAATACAAATGGAAAAAAAAAGGGTAAGATATCTGATGTAAAAAAATTACCTGGAAAACAGTTTAAGGGGGAATAATTTAAGAAGTATTAAATTACCTGAAAACAATGATTTTTTAAAAAGCCCTGATACTCACTCTATTTCAAGAAATCATAAATGAAAACTGCTGCAGTCTATTAGGACCATAGGGAAGAGACAAAAAGAAGATACTAATCATTTTCTTAAAGGAACCCCAAAGGGCTAAGTCCCAGAAATGTCATAGGCAAAATCCAAGCTCCTGTTAGAAAAATCTGAAACAAGAATCTACCACAGTGAGTGAGTGAAGGAAAGTCTTTATTAGGATTCTTGTGAGAGAAGAGGGTGCAACGCACTTTAGTAGCACGTGAGCACTAGTTCAGTGGTAGAATCAACTTTTAAACCATTAGTAAGAACGATACTCCACCCACCAGGGCTACTCTTGGTCTGGTTCATCTGAGTTACACCCTTCCTGGACAGCCCATTGCATCTTCCTCCATGTTCTGTTAACTCTGTCCACTTCGTGGGTCCCATGTTCAAAAATGGTGGCTATCTTTGCCCTTGGGGTGTGTCAGTTCATATTCAATAAGCTTATTAAGCAAGCTCAGTAGAGAAAAGCCTTTGCCCTGTCAAGGCCCCGTCCTTGAACCCAAGGGGTTGCAACCAGTTTAGCCTCTAGGGCTCTTTCTTAAGGAACTAGTTATTTACAGAAAAGTTTGGAGCACTTTCTGATTGGTTGAGGGACTATCCACAAGAACTTGGAATTTCTTATCCTGCTGTGGAAGCCTAACCCCCTAAAATCTTTCTTTCACTGCCAAGTCAAAAAAAAAAAAGATAATGCAAGCACCCAGAAAGAGGCGGTTTAAGTGCCAAGGAACTACAGTCAGTATCACACAAGACCTGACAACTTCTACTAAAAAGGTAGAGAAGATCTTGGAAAACTATTTCAGAAAGCAAAATACAACCAAAAATAACCTACCTACAAAGCTACATATGATCCTATAGAAGAGAAATGGGCCTTTTAATGGAAACAAGGACTTTCAGACATTTCTGATGAAAAGACTAGAGATGAGTCTTTAAAATACTAACACAAGAGTCTAGAGAAACCTAGAAAGGTAAATTTATTTGAGCAGTTGAGAAAAGAACTATGTGATGATGTAAGGCTAACATTCTAATAGAGAAGAAATGAGTATCATTTCAGAACCTTGATATCTTTAAGTGGTATTGAGGGAATTCGTAACAAAAATTGATGTCCTGAAGGTGGATTGGTTTTGTTATGAGTGTTTGAAGAGGGAAAAGGAGAAATACATTAGTGTAGAAAAAAGGAAAGACATGGTTAGCAATAATAATGCCCCTTCACAAAAAGAGGGCCATTGAAACTTCTATGCATAGAAGAGAACAGAAAGAAGTTCAGAAGGAAACAGATAAGCAGGACAGTTTTGAAAGTAATGTCTACTTTTTTTTTAAGCTAGCACTATAAAATGGAGATTCATAGTTTTTTATATAGACTCCTCTGTTGTATTCTACTTTGTGAACAGAGATGCTCCTTTTCTGGTGTTTAAGTTCAGAATAAAAAAAAATTGAAGACTATCAATTTCATAGGGGAAATTTGTTTTTTGTTGTTGTTCATCCTTCATTCTGGAGGAGGACCAATGACATCAGGAGGGTGATGTCTTGACTTGCAAGTGAATTGGATTTAAGTGAGGCAGGGCTATACTGAGTCATCAGCCTCACTCTCTCCTCCAGAGTCATCAGAGTCCAGTGGGCAAGA